CAACCCCCTGCCCTGAGTCCCTCCCACACCCCGCACTCCCTCCCGCATGCCAACCCCCTGCCCCAGCCCTACATTCATGGCCTTGCATACAATTTCCCCACCCAGATATGGCTCTTGGGCCAAAAAGTTTGCCCTCCCCTGCTTTAGAATGATGTTGTGGGTTGTGTTGAGTTGTTGGTGGGTTATGTTGTGCTGGGAGAATTCTGTGGACTTGTGCAGGTGGCAAATGAGGAACTGTGTACTGTGTTGAGAGGCTGTGTATTTGGGTTTAATGTGTATGCTTGTGTGTTACTGGGTGTATCATTTGGGCCAGGCAATGCACCATCTGTGCAGTTTCCCTCATTCAACCAATGAAATTGTTTCATGCAAATTAGCTTTAGAGTAAAGCTGGTGTTTGGTTGAGTTACCTGAATGCTTACAAAAGAGAACTTATTCACTGAAATCAAGATTGGCTCATGAACAGAAAAATAGATTAAATTTAGTGAATTTCTTTGCAATGAATAATTTGCTTAGTTGTAATATTTAGTAATCTTAGAATTTGTTAACCATAGTACATAAAGGAAGAAGTTTTGTACCATTTCAGTGCTGTTAATATCATCTGGCACCTAAAGTATTGCTTGTGATTTAGCTTGCTTCATTTTCCCCTAAAAGATTTAATGGTGGAAGGTTAGTGTCTTTATGCCAGTGCTTGTGCAGATCTTTAATATTGTAAGGTAGGCCTGACCATTTTGTATTAATGTATGTGGCATTGTAGTCGTGATGGTCCCAGATATTAGAGACACAAGGTGGGTGAGGTAACATATTTTATTGGCTCAACTTCTTTCAGTGAGAGAGACAAGGTTTTGAGTCTACACAGAGCTCTGTGTAAATTCAAAAGCTTGTGTCTCGCCAACAGAAGTTGGCCCAATAAAAGGTATTCCTTCACCCACCTTGTCTGTCATCTTGCATTAGGGTTGCCAGATGTTCAGTTTTCGACCTGAACGCCTGGTGGAAAAGGGACCCTGGGGCAAAGGTGTTTGGTTTTGTGCAAATTAGAAAGTTGGCAACCCTAGCTTGCATTGAGGCTATTTAGTATGACTTTAAAATTTTTACTGTTTTATAGTTTTTCTTTATTATATCCTATGACTTACTACGTGAAGACATTCAGCAACTAATGGTTCTAACCTCTTGTATTAAAATGTGTGCTTATTAGGTAAAATATAAAACACAAACATTAATGGTACATTACCACTCTGCATTTACAACATTTGTTTTCCTATTTGCTGCTGAAGTGCTTGTTTGTGGATGGTTTCCTTGTACTTACCAGTGTCTCCAGAAGAAGTCATCCTATGTTTTATTTTGTGTATATTCCTTCCTAGTATACGTTCCCTGAAAAAGCAGAATTGAAAAACATTTTTCTAACAACTGGGTGTGAGAGAGTTAAAAATGATGGCTATGGTCTCTTTTTATGCTTTTTTGTTTGTTTAAAACACTTTGATCTTGAAACTTGTAAATTTCAAAGCTTTAAAATTGCGATGAATCCTTAGTGCAGTAAACTGAAATTAATTTCTCAAGGTGTCAGAATGTGCTGCTGTGACTCTTCATATGAAGGTGACTAAGACTGCCAGGAAATGTTCGGTAGCAATATAAAACTGAACCTCAGAAAAGGCGCTCTCTCCCCCACCTCGTTCATTGAGGAGTCTAGGTGATAATCCTAACAGAGCACTTTTGTGTTTGGTTCAAGGGAAAAGTGCATGAAGTGCATAATTTTCCCAGCAGTTTGAGTGTTCTCACAGAAGTATTCTGTTTCCATGGTAACTATTAACTGGGAAATGGCTCTTCACTAGTTTCCCCCTGAGAGCTTAAAGTGCAACAGTGTTTGGTACTTCCCCCTTTTGCATTGGTGGTATGTTCCCATGATATGTTAGTTTTGTTCTTTTATGCAGAGTTGACTTTTGAAAGGAACCATTGTATTTTGCATAGCAGTACAGTATCTGCATACCCTCTGCTATAATGTACATGCTCTGCACACAATTTTAAAATGATCTCCACTATGTCAGATAAAATAATAGGGCCTGAAAAACTACCAGGTACTAGACAAATCTCTTTATTATGTTGTACATGTAAGAGATGCTCCTCCCTTTAATTTTTGTTGTTGTACATACTCTGTAAACTGCACAGCATTTTTGCCTCGTGTGTGTTAGCAATGCACTAACGCACGCATTAGCAGTATTTTCGATTGTGCTTGCTTTCTGCTGAATTGATGGCTCTTGGAACTATTATATTAAATTCCACAATTTATTTTAACTACAAAGTTCACATGCATGCTGTTGTTCAAGAAAATATACTACTTTAAAAAAAATTCAAGTGTAAGTGGCTTTATATTAATGCTGTATACTGCCATGTGGAAGACGTTGGTTGATTTTCCAGTCTCCTGCTGCCTAGGATTCTGTCACCCTTATTCATGTTGAAATCAGTGGGGCTACTTTCACAATAAAGTACTAGTCAACATAAATAGGCTTGGAAGGATTACATTTTTATTGATAAATGTCAGTAAACTTCAATTTCACAGTACACCACAACCCAACAAAAATATTTCTATCTATAATTGAATTTTACAAATAGACAAAGCAAGAAAAATGCTGCTTTAGAATTCATTAGAGTCAAAATCCAGTGATTTAGGCTTTTTGAATTAGGCTTGTTACAAATGAACTAAAGAATGAATAGTAAAAACAGGTATGATAGGTTCATTTAAGGATATTTACTTTGAATATTTCGATATCTGATGTTGACAAGTTTTCAGTGGTTTATAAAGCTTTAACGTTTTGAATCTCAACATCTACTGTCATTAAATAATTGTCTGACCTCTCCATAATTTCATGCAACTGTGAACATTTAACTAGATAAAAATGGGAAAAAATGCTTTAAAATAAACATCAGTATTATCCATTGAAATTATAAAGAAGTAAAAATCAAATTCTTCCAAGCCTAAACATAAGTGCAGTATAATCTAGTTCTGGACCTAGATTTAAGAAACTAATTTAAATCCCTTGGACGGGCAAGAAGTCCTTTGTTACACAAAAGTCCCTTAAAGAAGAGCATTAACATATTTTGATGGAAGCCTAAGTATGAGGTGGATGTGTAATGTAGAAAGAGGGGTTTTAAACTACGTTAAACACATTATCAGTTGAATGTCAATTTGATTAACATAACAATGAGTAAGCAATAGAGTTTTAATTAACACACAAATTGATAGGATTCTTGTTTTAATCATTTTCCTCTTTTATAATCAAATTAAATTGTGTAAGATAGAGATAAAACATTGCTGCCACCTAGAGGCTCTTGCATATTTTGCTGCATGCAATGTGTAACACTGATATTTGACAAGTTCAACCCAAATCCTCAGGGTTTTACTGAATTAGGCTGTGTTTTACTGAAATTATTTGATTATTGTGAGAATTCAGAGTGGGTCAGTTTGTTGTTCTGGCAGACAGTCACCAAGGACATATTAGGGTTAGAGTAGATTTAAAGCATTATTTTGGGAGGAGCATCACTCCTGATCCTGGTGGCCACCGTGGAGAGATGGGAAAGGGTGGAGAGATGATCATATGAAATAAGGACATTTGGAAGGAGTGAAGTTTCAGTGGGTGGATGGTTGCAGATGGATTGGGGGATATGAATAAAAAGATTATTAATGTGGCTAATGAACCCTGAGAGGAGAGGACTGTTGCTTTTTTCCATTTCTTTGGTAACTAATGGTGGCTGCTTTCACACAGTTATTTTTGTATTTTCTTTTGAAAGGTAATTCTCTTTAGAGCAACTACATTAGCATATTGTCGTATGACTGTTCCTTTCAAATGTCCAAGCCTTTAAGATTGTAATAATAATACTGGCCTAAACATTCAAAAGTGACTTGATTTTGAGTGCTTCAGTTTTTAAGTGGTCAGCCTGAGACCACTTTAAATGGACTTTATTTCCTGAGAGTGTGGGCCTCCGTACTTCTATAAATCAGGCCACATAAGGAGAGCACCTCAAAATTGAGTTTCCAGAATCATTGGTCATTTATGAAAATGTAAGCCAGTATAAGTAAACAGGGTACAGTTAAGAACATTTATAAAAATAACTTAAAAATCATAGTAAAAGATAGATTTAGGCTGAACTGTCTATTTGTGGCTATCCACTTTTAACCAGAAAGTAACCAAAAATTTCTTCAGAACTAGAGGAACTCAGATCAGCCATTAAGTGAAGGCAGCTTAGTTAAGCAGTGAAGGCAGCACTGCAAGCTGTCCGCCACTGCAGATTGACCTCTGCATAACTACACCCATTGGGCTACATTCAGGGCCTTCCATGACTGTAGGACTGGATTTGCCCCAATGTGCACATAGATACTGCCCACTCAGTGATTTTTCCATTTAATTGTCTGTGAGATTTACCTGAGGGGGTGGGAGCGAAGGGGCAAGAGCATATTGGAGCTGGCTAATACATTTTTGAGGGTGTATGGAATTAGTAAATGAGCCCTGACAGTGTGTTATTCAATAGAAATTGCACCTGTTCTCCAGAAAAGTGGGTGAGTTAATATGCCAATTGGTTCAGTTCTGGTGTTCTGTGGCTATAGCCTTTTTTGTATCTGTGAAAACATGAGCTAAAGGCTCAAGCAGACTTCATTCTCACAATGAACTTCTTGAAAGGAAATGGCAGGCATCTATTGAACTATGGAAGTGTGGATACCTGTGCCAGTTAATCTATGATATAAATGCTAACTGAATATTTTAGTAACTTGTTCCTACTTTCAAATGCATGCGCTCACATTGCTGAGTAAAATCGATGAAGATGTGTGTGAGCTTAGTAAGTAATTATATCAGATATATGGTGATGCAATTTAAGTATCTGAGGGTAAGATTGCACTATTAGAAATAAAGAGAGTATTGATTTTTAAAATATGAATATTTTCAAAAATCAGTAGATACAAAATAAGTTAGAGATACTATAAAAAACTAATGTCCTTGGCACTTTTATTACAGTCAAAGACTAGAAATGAAAGCACAAGTTGCAGGTGCTTTCATAGAAAAATTCCAACTGACTCCAGATGAAATGAACCTTCTTCGAGGCACAAGAGATGGCCCAATTACCGAGGTAACTCAAAATACATTATAAGTTTTGTACTGAGTTAAAACACAACAGTACTATTAGAGCAGCATACGTAGGAAGGTCTGTCACATCGTTACTTTTCTTTTATATCGAATGAATTTATCTCTTAATAGAATGATGTCTGTAAGTGTCCGGATACCATAATGAGTAAAAATAATCACAGTAAAAAATTCTGTTCTGATTAATGACTGGTGAGGGGCAATAAAATTGATATTTTAATGTTGTATTTCTCCTCCACTGTAAAATGATTTTTTTTTTTAAAGCCTCAAATTCTATATTTTTAGTTTGTTAAAACTCTGTCTTGGCCAAGTAAAGAAACTTAACAATTCATGGTACTTTCAGATTATGTAGCACCACTATTGTGTGTGTATATATTTTACTTGGCTACGGCAATATATAAATTGTTTAAGTTGATTTACAGTAGGACTTTCCCTCATTGTTTCATTTGTTGTTGTTTGAAATATTAGGTGCTGACTCACTTATTTTTAGTCACCTTCTAAACTAAGTTTTTAAACATATTGATATGTTTTTGCTTAAGAAAGCACATTGTTCTATGGCGAAAGCAATTAAAATATCCAGAGAATTAAGTATATTTAATAGCTTTTATTATTTTAGTTACATGGAAACTTTCATTTAAATACAGAATACCTGCTGAGATGCAGTATCTCATTTCCGCAGACATCCTGTTAGCAGTGAGAGCATTATTAAAGACATGGAGCAGATAGCCATAAACAATACTAACAAAAGCACAAATGAAAGCACGTTAAATGATCATGGACTTGAGTAATTGCCATGTACTTAATAAAACATCAAATGTTACCTTGAAAGAAACATTTCAGTTGTGATAGAAAACATTAAGTTCAAAATACAGACATTTTCATAAAACAGTTTTCTCAAATGTTTACTTCTCAAGAGCCTAATCCAAAACTCCTTGAGGGTTTTTTTTTTTTTTTTAATTTTACTTCAGTGGATTTTGGATTAGGCCCTAACCTTTATTTCTGCAGTTATCTCCATGCTCCTTCTCCTCCTTGAATGTAGGAGGCAATCCTGCAAGGTGCTGCATGCCGTCTAATCCAATTGCAGTTGAGGGAGTGCAATAACTCACAAGATCAAGTCCTAAAAGATTCTCTCACCCATTCCTGAATGAAGTTGCTGAAGTTCGGACTCTGTCAGAAACTAAACTAAATCCAAATCCTAACCCTTCTTACTACACCACACCTGTGAAAAAGGGGGTTCTCTGCTGTCTTCCTCCTTGGCGTCCTGGGAGAAAATGTATATTTCCTCCTGGTGAGCTCTCCAGCAATGGCTAGAAGATCATTTCTCCCTACCCTGTCTAAATGGAGTATAAGCTATGACTCTATGAAACTCCTTTCAAGTTTTCTCTCTTCTCTTTGTGTAGGAAGGGCTGGAGAAGAGTAGGGGACATGAGCACCCAATAATTGAGTAAATTTACTCAACGTTTGGCTCAGGGCAGAGCAGGGAACATTCCTTTGTTGTGCATTCTTTTTAATCTACCTAAGACTGTGCAGAAATTGTGGGAATAGAATTGCAGTTGGGGTACTGAAGCAGCAGACTTGATGATGCACAATCAGCTAGCTACAAGTCTAGTATGGACCTGGACTGAAGATAATTCTAGTGTGTTTAAAAAAATATTATTGTAGGTCTTGAGAATACATTCCTCAGAATTGAAAAACACAGTTGGTAAAACTGTATCAGAAAATACTTTTATTTGATTCTTACCTTTAACACAGGTGATAAGAAAATACTGTAGTTGATTATACAATCAATGAATACTTCAAGTAAACAAAACAATTTTTAAAATTAGATTTCCTGTGTAAAAATATAGTGGAGGCCTAGTGGACCATAATGACCTCATGTGTGTCCTCCAATAATTAAGCACAGTAGGGTTAATTCAGAAAGCCACCAGACAACTATTGGGCTATGCTAGCAGAGAATTTATGGTGCATGTTAGCCTTGATTTCTTTGCTTTTATTATTTTCTGTCAGAAATTTACTATTTTTGTTATGTAGCTTAGTGTGTGTGAATTTGCAAAGCTGTTCTCAAATCCCCACTCCCACACTCATGCATTAAAAACTTTAAAATACCAGCCTCTTTAATCTGAAAATATCTGTAGAGTAATTTTTAAGCTGTTGTCTAAACCCATTTTGGCCAAAGTTTACTGTGCAGGCTGACATGCATGCACTGCAAAGTATTATGAACTTCTTAGGAAATAAAAAGTTGACACGCATGCCCAATGATTCTGTACTTTTTCAGATTTAGAGACAGAGACATTTTTAAACTATAAAAAACACTTTTGAAATTGTTTCAAATTTCAGATATTTTATCTGGGGAGACCTTGTAGGTCAAAATTAATCAAAGACTAACTTTGCCTTTTAATTTTTTTTTTAAATGAAAGAAAACCTATATTTTTCTACTGTGTTATTTATAAATCCTCCAAATCAGGGACAGTAGTGGAAATATGGTGCATCCTTAATGATAATATCAAATACAACAAAGTGACTATCGTGGGAGTCTTTTTAACTGCTGATAGTGTATTGTATATTTTTGGCTTTTATTTTTATATGCAGAATGATTTACAATTAAAAAACTCTGGATTTTATTTTGTCCACTGCAAATACTTAGTTTCCTTAGTGGATTATTATTCCATTCAGATTTGAACAAGAATTAATGGAGAAAAAAGAGGGATAGGGAGGAATGATAAGTTCAGTTTTTATCACATCTGATTTGCAATGGCAGTGGGGGGGACGGATAGCTCAGTGGTTTGAGCATTGGCCTGTTAAACCCAGGGTTGTGAGTTCAATCCTTGAGGGGGCCATTTAGGGATCTGGGGCAAAAATTTGTCTGGGGATTGGTCCTGCTTTGAGCAGGGGGTTGGACTAGATGACCTCCTGAGGTCCCTGCCAACCCTGATATTCTATGATTCTCCAAACGGAGAAGCAAGTGAGACTACTGGAGATGTGAAATTGAACCCAATGTGGGAGAGGTCAGACGGTAGACGTAAGAAATGTTTGCCAAAACTCTAGATATGGCAGAGGTCACAAAGTGAAATGTGTGTAGAGCAGAGATTTCCTAATTGTGATCCTCGGAACATTTGCTGGTGTTCCAAATGTGCTGCTGGCAGTTGCCATTTTTACCACTGGAGAAAATCCAAACAGAAAAGCAAAAGCAGGCAGTCTGATTGCTCTGTTTCAAAAGGGACAAAATGTTCATTCCACAAAAGTCATTCCAGTGTTACTTTTCCATGTATGTAGTTGCTGTGGTTGCCACAAGGCTGCTGTGAGCATGTGCGTGCTGTGCAAGAGACATTCTGCCCAGTTGCATATGCCACTTCATCCAAAAATGCTGACTTCTAATATCAAATAGTTGTCAGTACAACCTCCAGTATAGCATTTTAGTATTGTTATTAAGTTTATTTTTCTTCATTTAAAAACTGGAAATGCTTTAAATCATTAAATTCATTTTTTTAAAGGATTTTTTCAAGGCATTAGGAAGAGTAAAGCAAATTCATAATGATGTCAAGATTCTTCTCCGTACAAACCAACAGAGAACAGGGTGAGTTTAATCTGAATAACTGCAAAGTAGTCATTTAATAGTTAAAACAGTAATTGTATGGAGATGCCTTATTTGTTCTTTCAAATGATGACAAAAGGCGCTGCAAATATGAACAAAATGTACATGTAACAGGAATTTATTTTGAAATTTCCGTTTCTTTATAATGCTAACTTTTACATTCAATTTTAGATGCTTCTATAAACATCTAATAAAATATTTTTATTTTGTAGCCTAGAAATTATGGAACAGATGGCTTTGCTCCAAGAGACTTCTTATGAGCGACTTTACAGATGGGCTCAAAGTAGGGTTACACTTTTATTTTTCTTTTTAGAAGATTTAGATTTATGAATATTAGGGTGATCAACTTTTTAGTTCTTTTAAAATGGGGGTAAGCTTAGCTAGAAGCCTTTCTTTGACTAAATCAGAAGGAAATCTAAGACACTACACTGTAGAGCAGTGGTTTTTAAAGAATGTAAGGCACTGGGTCGCGGCGGCTCTGGTCAGCACCACCGACTGGGATGTTAAAAGTCCTGTCGGCAGTGCTACCCGGCTAAGGCAGGCTAGTCCCTACCTGTTCTGACACCGCACTGCGCCCCGAAAGAGGCCAGCAGCAGGTCTGGCTCTGCCAATGGGAGCTGGGGAGGGTGTGGGGGAAGGGCAGTGCCTGCGGGTGAGAGCACTCAAAATCAATGGCCAGTGTGAGAATTTTCCCTTAGGTGGCTTTATTCCATTTTGAGCTAGCTTGTTTCTTGCAGTATAGGAGTGTCTGGTTATCGCTTTGTAGGCACTGCTTCATTTAAAATCGAGGTAAAATGTGCAGTCTTTTAAAACCATGTAATGCTCTTTATTTAAATTTTTATATAGTAATACTCCTGGTTTAAAAATACTAACTTGATGGCATGCACAAATCTGTATTCAATAAGTCTCATTTTACACTGTTTTTAAAAATTGTTTGTTAAGAATTGAGACCCACATCACTCATATAGAAAAACACTGCTCATGGGGAAATTACAGTGATACAGACATGGGCAACCTGTTACATATTCTGAAAGTTATATTGTAAAATGAAGAGACTCTACTTGTAGCCTAATATCTTTCTGGGACATGAGAGATGTTACACCGTCTTTACTGTCTAAATAGCATAGGTTTACCTGATATTGTATTGCTATTTTATAGGTGAGTGCAGGACTTTGACACAAGAATCATGTGACATTTCTCCAGTTCTCGCCCAGGCCATGGAAGCCCTGCAGGATAGACCTGTTCTGTATAAGTAAGTAAACATTCATGATTATTTCTAACACATGTAAGGGTATCTTTTCTTCTCTTAGCAAATAGATCCATTCCGAGTCTGTAACCTACAAAGAATGATACTGAACATGATGATGATTAGTCTTGGGGGAGGACTAGCTCAGTGGTTTGAGCATTGGCCTGCTAAACCCAGGGTTGTGAGTTCAATCCTTGAGGGGGCCACTTAGGGATCTGGGGCAAAATTCTGTCTGGGGATTGGTCCTGCTTTGAGCAGGGGGTTGGACTAGATGACCTCCTGAGGTCACTTTCAACCCTGATATTCTAAGAAAACTTTAAGAAAGGCATGTTTCAGTGTCTCTAAACTTTCGGTATAGTCTTTATGCAATCACTGTACAAGAAGTCTCACTGCTGGTCTTCTGCAAACATATTTGGGTTTTATTTAAAAAAAAATGTTATACTAGCTATACTTTCATGCAATTTAAATATGAATGTGTGTGCTCTCTTAAGGTTTTTTTGTTTTGTTTTAATGGAGCTAGTCTAGGTTTCCTTTGTCAGAATGCAAGGTATCTAATTAGTCCATTTACTTGTGGAAAGTAAGTTTACCAAAGCCAACTTAATTTTTATCCAGATTGTACCAGTACTGAGAGTATTTCCTATTATGTAAATTATAGTAGTCTATTAAAAGCAGTGCATTATATATTTATATGCCCTTCATGCTTTCTTTTCATATAAAGAAGGCACTTGAAGATATTAGGTCTTCCAGTTCAGTGCATTGCTTAAAAAGTTAATGTTGAAGTACAAACTACTGTGTGCGGTTTAAAATGGAGATCATCTGACAGCCTCATTTCCTGTATTGTTGGAGGCCTCAGTCAGGATTTGAAGGACTTGATCCAAAATGCACAAGTACATCTCTTCACTAGTACTAATGGGGGATCAGGGTCAACTGTGTATTGCCCAGGTTTCTATCTTGCCCGTATACCCTCCTCTACTGGTCTATGTTTAGCCTTTCCCACCAACATGAATAAAGTTAATTGTTTCTTTTTTGTCTTTTGAATGCTTTAACTTTCTACTTTAATAACATAACTTTAACTTTTAAAATATGAATTTCTGTTTTATAAAGAAAGAACATTGTATGTGTAACTGTTCTATTGACATCAAGAAAACTTTATTTATTTGTTAATTTCCTGCACTACAGTAAATGGACTGCGCAAGCTAAAGAGTAACTATTTATCTTCTATAGTGAAAGCTTAATTCTTGATCAGAATTTTCTGACAAGACTTTTAAACCTAAATCCAGTTTGCTGATAACAAAGGCAAATTAACCACAAGGTGGCACTATCAGAACTGTCTTTGCTTTTGCTTTGGCTGCTACTCTGAAACATGTTAGCCTGTTATGCACTGTACTGCATTTAGCCTGGATAGAGCAAAATACTTAAGTGTGTCAAATTTTTAGCACACGATTAGTAACTTTGACTTCAATATGACTACTTAAGTGCTTAAAGTTAGGTAGGGGCTTATGTGCTTTGCTGAATTAGGGCCTATATTATGTGGCAGAATTGAAAGAAAATAATCATGCTGAACATCAAACTCTTGAAATAACATCAGAAATCCATTATCTTTTTCCAGCCATTGTGTTATTGTGTTGTGACTTGAATGCAGTTAATTTTCAGTAATTATATGTAGAAGTAATTTGAAACGAAAGTAATTTTAAATAGAAATAAAAATTATTTTCATCTCCCCCTGGGGATGAAACAGAGATTCCTTAAATCTCTCCCCAGTGCCTTTTTCAGACCAGTTTAGGGTAAGCCACAATATTGCTCACTATATTTTATTAGGGTCATACTATACAATACTTCTACAATAAATACTGTGTTGTGTTTAAATTATCCTACTTCAAAACCTTGGAAAATGCAGAAATGTGTTATTAACCTTTACAGAAAGTTTCTGATCTTTGGTAATGCCAGTACTACCGTCTGTGGGGAAAAAGATTTCAGATATCTTTTGAAGGTTCTTTGTGGTCAAGTCAGATTTCTGTTCTTGCTGCAAAACTAGGAGTGTGAAAGAAATTGTTTCCCATAAATGAAAAGGTAAACACTAATGAAACACCATGTTGGTGCTTTATAAAATCTCAAAGATTAAATGCTAATGCCTACTTCAATTAAAGGTCTCTAAGGGCTTGTCTGCACTGGCACTTCACAGTGCTGCAACTTTCTCGCTCAGGGGTGTGAAAGAACACCCCTTTGAGCGCTGTAAGTTTCAGCGCTGTAAAGTGACAGTGTAGACAGTGCACTAGTGCTGGGAGCTATTCCCCTCATAGAGGTGGGTTTTTTATAGCGCTGAAAGAGCTCTCTCCCAGCGCTCGTGCTGCGCTACACAGCCATGTTAAAGTAGTGTCGTGGCAGCGCTTTAACGTTGCTAGTGAAGACATGCCCTAAATCTTTACTAGAGCCAATGATAGGCTTACACAAGAAGAACTGAGGTGGTAGTTTGTGATATAATTTACTGGCCATAAAATTTACACCACTGGATTGTGTGCAAGAATGGCTGTGGTTTTTTGGTTTTGTTTTTAAATGGAAAAAAAGAGTAAAAAATATAATCTTCAATTCAAATCACCATAACATAGTAGCACTTTATGTACATTTCCTCCTTTTTTGGCATCACTCTGGCCTCACAATTAATCAAAAATACAATACAAAGTCTAAATTTTTTAAGTATCTCTCAAATTTAAAAATTATATGAACACTAATTTGAAATTAAGTCTCTAAAATACTGAGAATGTTTCCAAAATACTTTGATTGTACAAACTAATTTGAACACACTTTTTCATTGCAACCTTTGTGCCATAAAATATGATTGACAAACATTATTGCCATTCTTGAAACACTTAAATAAAAACGATGATCATTTCCTAACCAATCAAAGCACAGTTAGCTCAAATTAGCACGCACAAGGTAACTGCACTTGAGCTAGCCTAGCTCCAGTGACCATACTTCAAAACCACACTCAAGTTAGAGTGATTTGATTAGCAGCACAAATGATTAGCTGCAGAGGAGTTGTGGTATCTCAAGCTGTTGCATCTCCACTGCATTGCCAGCTTAAGTTTCAACCCCCTTCCCAAACTAGTTAGCTCAAGCTTAATGCACCACTTAATTTGTGGAAAAACTTCAGTTATAACTCAACCTGACTTTGCTGTGAAGATTCGCTCTCACTCAGAAAAAAAATTGAACATACTTTAAATGTTTTGTCTTGTCAAACTTAGTTAACAAAACTTAACAGCACTACTGACATACTTCCTGGAACTGCAGTCAGTCCAGAGCAACTGAAATAAATGCTTCATCTGGGTCTTCACTTCCTCTTCCCAACTAGAATAAAGACAAATTTGAAAACTGGGTTTTTGTAGATGACGCATGAGCAGCCACAGCAAGAAGGACATTTTCCTGCGGATTTCTCAAGGTTTTCTCCACCCTCTTCCCTCCCCCATCTGCAATTATAGCTCCACTGGGAATTTGGTCTATTGTTCGGAAGACAAGCTAAAAGAATCCAAATACTATTTTCCTTCTCCATAATGAATACTTGTTATAAAGCTGTAGTAAATACACCATTTCAAGGGCAGATAATAATTAGTTTTTGCTGAATTTTTATACAATGCAGAATTATGTCATAATTATATTGTATTCTATTGTGGGTAAAAAGAAAAATATAATTTTCTATTTCCTCTTGCAAACATAATTATCAGTGTTATGTTACAGTTCTCAAAACCGATGAGAACAAAAATTACAAGATCTAGTCATTTGCCAAATATCTGATACTCTCTATAATATCATTACTTGTTTGGAAAAAAGAATCAATTTGGTTTGTGCAAAACACCTATGGTCTTGTGCTATTTTTTTCGGGGGGGGGGAGGGGGAGGAGAGAGGGCACTGGCACTGCTGTCCCTGTGTTATGGGTAATGAGTTGACGTTAGCTCTCAAGTGCTTTAATCAGATACTCTTCCTAAATACTAAAATTCATTTAAAAATACACCTTTCACTTGATTCATCAAGCAGTAGCTTGTTGTTTTGTTTACATTTTTTTTACCAGTGGGTGGCAAGCAGACTTAATTTGGGGGTAAAAATATAATGGATTATGCAGAAATTTAAGTACCTATCAATGTGCTTATTGTTTGCAAAAAAGTAACTAGCGATTTATAGTCAAGATAAATAAAACTTTTCTTATTGATCCCTTCAGCACAGTAACCTTACCACTATTGCAAAAGAACAATACATTGTGAATGAACTGTGTGCAAAAAGAAAATTATTTAAAAAGCAAATACCCTTGCAATCTCAGTGTATATTTTTTTTAAAAAGTACTTATTGGTACATGACTACCACAAATCCTTCTTTACCTTATGTCATACAGAATGTGATTCTGTCCAGTGATCCTTTAAAACATTCACAACATTTCTTGAAAATGCAGTAGAGCTTTCCTCAGCCTTTGGCAGCTGGGGGCAGTAATGCTCCTATTTAGAACATTCTGATAATATACGATTACTTTTTCTCTCTTTGCAGAGAGACAAGATTGCATTTGCTTTCAATGTTCACAAGCTTAGAGGGGAAGTAAAAGTAGATATACAAAATAAAATTTAAAAAATGAATAAAGTGGAAATGTATAGTAATTAATATAAACCAGAAGCTAGGAATTGTAAAAAATTGATATGAGAAACAAAAGAATACAAGGAAAAATCTATATCCATTAGAGATAAGGACCCATAAGGAGGAATTTATATATACAAAAAGAATTATAACAGTGATATTGATCTGTTACTAGTTGAAAATGGTAGAATTGTCAATAATAATGCAGCAAAGACAGAAGTGTTCTGTATTCGGGAAAAAGCTAGATAAAGTAGTCATACCGTGTTCTGATAATACTACACTTTCCAGTAGTAACTAAGGAGAATGTTAAACAGTAGCTACTAAAGTAAAATATTTTAAAATCATCGGGTCTGGATAGTTAGCATCCACAAATTTTAAAGAGCTGGTCAAGGAGCCCTCTGGACAATGAATGTTGGTTTTCAATAAATATTGGAACACTGGGGAAGTTCCCAAAGACTGGAAGGAAAATATTTGTGCCAATATTTTAAAAGAGTAAATGGAATAATGTGGTAATTATAAGCCAGTCAGCCTGACATCAATCCTGGGCAAAATAATGGAATGATCCATTTGGGACTCTAATAAAGAATTTAAAGGGGTGTGTGTAATGGGGTGTTCCCCCACACTAGCCTGGAAAGAGTTAATGTGGCCCAAAAGGGGGAAGTAACCTGATAGGCCACACCTGAGGAAGAGTCAGGCTTGATAAGCAAGCACTGATTGAGAATGAAGCCCAGCTGAGCAGGCAGGCTAGTATAAAGCCAGGAAATATGTAGCAGGAAGAGGGCTGCAGCATGAAGGCCTATAGTAACTCTCTGGGTTTAGAAAGGGAATGGAGGAAACACAGGGAGAATTGAAGTCCTGGGATGCTGGCCCTGAGGGAAAGGTTTACACAGAGGAGGGTGGACAAGGAAGCCTGATAGAGGTGGAATAGGGAAAGGCCCGGGAAAAGGGCAGTAAGGTTTTGGATGGTGCAGACCATGGCTGCTGGTTCAAGGGTCCCTGGGCTGGAACCCAGAGTATTGGGTGGGCCGGGGTTCCCTTACTAGCTACTGGGAAAGTGAGTTGGAGGACTGTTGGGAACGATACCGTCAGCCAGTCCTGTGAGACTTTGATAACTTCTTGTGATCTGGCCAGCGGTCCTAGCCTTGAAGTGGGTTTTAGTTTTCTTAAAAAGAAAAAAAAATGCAGAGAGAGAGGGTCATAGTGAATCAGATTTTTTACCGCTAAAAATTACCTCAAAATTTGGACTTTGTATATTGGAAACATTGACACAACCTTGTATATAGCCAAATGAATGGGCACAGGTACAATGCTCTTAAATTAGGCTAATATAAATTGTGAGGGATAAAATGTTTTTTCTGAGGATCTTCATGTTTCAATTATAGGTACACCCTGGATGAGTTTGGAACAGCTAGAAGAAGTGCAGTAGTCCGTGGCTTTATTGATGCTCTTACCAGAGGAGGTCCAGGCGGTACTCCCCGACCTATAGAAATGCACTCCCATGATCCTTTGAGGTAGGATAGTAGTGAAACTGTGCATTACATAATCTTTTTGTCATTCATACAATAAATCCTTTATGTAGCAATTCTTGTTTTTATTTAGATATGTAGGAGACATGTTGGCATGGCTGCATCAAGCTACTGCTTCTGAAAAAGAACATCTGGAAGCTATGTTAAAGCTTGTAACTACTCAAGGTATTATTAGATTTTAATGCATATTTTGCAAATCTGTAGAAACTGAAGTTAGTGGTGAGCAATATGCCAGAAAACTACAACAAAATTCCTAGAGTGGACTTCAGTTGCTCCATAGAGGGTAAATGGTATTGTAAATGACTTCAGAAAATGTAATAGTTCAGTTTGCTAGGAAGAAAACCATTAATCAGAGAGAATACTTCAAAGTTCACTAATGTGTGCATTTTCCTGCCCTCTCAATATATTTAGATTTAGAAGGGAACTTTTCATGCTAGACTTCAGAACTCAAGTGCATTTCTGAAAAGGAACTTTGTAAAAATGCCATTGTCGTGTACCCTGCTTGTATCTTGGGGATTTTGGTATCAGATTTACTTTTTCTAGTAAACAAATATTTTTCTAACAGCCTGCACTGCATGCTCCTGCTCAGCCTATGAGTCAAGTCTGGCTTCCTTCCATCTTGTACCATATCACCATTAAAATGGTCCAAATGTCAAATAGGACCCCTGGTTACACCTATGCAACTCGATAATTTTCAAATTCTTCGGCATCAACTAGTCCACAGAGCCTGCATTGAGTCTTCAGCCTGCTTGCAGCTTTTGAGGTAGATTTGGACCTGTTGTCAGTAATACAGTAGTAATCCCTGTAGAAGATGCCAGTGTGATCTACCTCTGTAGCTACAACCAGGGGCTTGTTATAGCTGAGCGTACATGCCTCACCTATAACAGGTATTGAGTGTTACCAGTGAAAGCCAAGTTCTTGTCATACTGAGATACGAACAGCTACTTGGACCTTAACTGGTTCACAGGGCTCTGCCCTGGGATTTAAATTTAATCTGACTTGTTTAACGCACCCTTGTTTTCCTGTACTTTTGGAAATAGAAAGTGGCATTCCTAATAGATGTCACATCAGCAAGAAGGGTGTTTGGAAGAGCTCCCAGTTTCAGTCAAATCACCATAAGGCCAAAGATTAAGAAGTGTGGAAATTTTGTCCTATTTTGTGGTTATGTATATTTTGTCCTTTGAAAATATTTAAACATTTTCTACTATCCCCAACTCTCACCACATTGTCAGTTGTTCTGCTCCAGTTATAGGCACACTATAAAAGTTGAATACTTTTTTGTACCGTGTTTAATATATTTATTTACTCACAATCTGATGGGGTGTCCCATTACAAACTCCAGACGCTAAAGAAGGGGGAGCGAGAAGCCCAGACACTGCTGTGGGGTGTGGAAGAGGAAAAGAGATGTCAATTCCATTAATTTTACATGTGCCACAAGAGCCCTATGCTTCCACTTCTTTTGGCGGGAGACACTCTCTTAGGAAGAGCTCTCTGAATGCTGGAATCACAGAGTCCATCTCCATGCTCTGCTTTTGCTGCAGGCTGTGCCTTACAGCCACTCCTCTCCCCACAGCTTCACTTCCCACTCTGAAATCACTATATACTGGGAGTGTAAGGCTCTCTACTTAAATGCTCCCTTCTGAGGTTATATAATAGGAATTGGGGGTTAGATGCTTTACCACACGCACTCGTAGTATCTATAGCCATAACCACCCTTAGCCATAGACTGGACCAACGTATCTGAGACTATGAAGACTAGGAGTTTGCATGGGAAGAGTGTCTGACCACAATTCCGGTTTAGTTTTCTGGGAGAATCAGGTACCTAACTGAGAACCCATGACAGGCTATCCAAAACTGGGAGTCTCCTAGGGAAAGCTGCACTCCAACAATGTAGTCTTAAGGCAAACCCAGCATTCAAGCTCAAAGTAAAATTTCATTTCCCACAAAAATAGGTCACTGGTTATTCTCTCCAAATTCCAAGCATTCTGGAGAGAACGTTGTGCACAGAGATGTTAAAGACTGATATCCTGCTTGAAAATTCTCCTGCAGTTTGTGAGGAAAGGACTCCAAATCCTCCATAAGCCTGTTAGGTGAGACTACTCACTAAGGGCCTATTCCAACTCCTATTGAAATCAACTGGAAGGTTTAGGTGGGAACTGGATCGGGCCACGAGCAGTAGCTACATCCTGAGTGAAGAGATTATACACCTTGTACAAATAAATATGGAAAGCTGCTACTTGGTCACCATTGAGTATGTCCGCTAAGGTAATACAAGATCATTATGTAACCCTCAACTGATGAAGCCTTCAGATGACTGCTGTTGCACTGTGAGGTAGCTCAGTAAGATGCCACAACAAAATTCTATCATAAATAATTTTTGTAGCTAAATAGTTGTTAACTTCAGTGCCTGCCTCCCAAAATTCACACTTCTTAGTAAGCCCCATGTAGGGTCTATGAAACCATCAGCAATGAAGAAAAGGAAAATGTATGAATCACTTGAAAACTTCCTTTAGTCTGCAAACACAAGGCCATAGGTCCAGCCCTCCCTACAGAATCGGGCGGGAGGGGAAGGGGAGTGAGGAGAATGGAGGTTTGGTGTTGATGGAGGAAAAACTGTTCAAGGCTCAAGTGACACATTTGAAGAAAAATGTGAAAAGTCCAAGCTCACGTTTTAAGAAAACTGGCCTTTGTTTTTGAATAAAAATAGTCAAGTAGCACATAATCACATGGTTAAAAATAGTTTAAAACCATTTAAAAGCTTTGCATTTCAAACTCTAATTTTTAATTTAATCCAACAACTGTGCTGTTTTAAATTTGAAAGGGCTAATAGTAAGTGCAAAGAAATTTTACCCCTCAGATTGTAGAGACTGAAAAAGGGCAGATTATCTCTTTCTGTGGAGCTTAGTTGCTCCAGCAGAGAGAAGTAGCAAAGACTTTCCTCTCTTGCAGAGTTCCTGAGCTCCACAGGAAGGGAGACGCTCAAGAATTCTGCTAAAGGGAAGCAACAGAGACTCCCCATCCTGTGAAGTTAAAGGGATTCTACTGTAAAGAACTGAGTGGGAGAAAGATACTTGATATGTTCCTGCCTGTTACTCACATCTGCTTTCTGCCACTGTGCAGGTGCCTTCTAAAGCTCTGGGACTTTGGGCGGGGAAAGGCAAACTATTGTGCAATTAACGGAGCTGGCAGGTTTATTTTTAGTAAATGAAAATTACCAAATTAAATGCAAACACAATCTACATTAATGCGCCTATGTGCATGCAGTATCAGGGATTTGGAGCAATCAAATTTTTGAATTGCTCCGCTCCAGCTCCACTCTGGCACCAATAATGACTGCTCCAGCTCCGCTCCGACTCCACTCCGCGCTCCGACTCAAATTAATTTTTAACGAAATAAAAAAGTGCATACTGTAACTTTGAAAAAACATTATTTTTATTCAGACTTTTAAAACAATTTAAATGTCATCAACAAAGATACAAACTAGAATCATTCATAATTCATTGTGTAGAAAATTATTGCAGGAATCAAGTCGTCTTTCATGGCTTGCTGCAAATCATTTAAAATTAACGTTAAAGCCGAAAAAAGTCGCTCTCCACTAGCTTGAGTTGTTGGCATGCTCAAAGTAATTATACAGGCAGCATGAATGCGGTGTGGGTAGTTGTGAATGGCCTCAAAAATGGACTTAACTTTTAGCCTACCAATAGACTCCATTGCCTCACAATCTTCCCGAAAGTTTCTCTCGAATAATACTTCATTACAATTTGAATCGCAGAAACTTGCCAGCGTCTTTCTTGTTAATCCAATTCCTTTTCGAAGTCATCATCTTCTGAAGAATTGATGCTTGAATTATCTCCATTTTCCCATGATGGTTGAAGACGTCTCAGGGATGGACGCTCGAACAAGTTCAGAGTGGAGACGGAAGTTTGAGAACAGCCTGCTATTTCTGAAGGATGTGAACTTTCCAACACCGCAAATTTGATTGTTGATGACTCCTTTTGTTGTGTTTCGTTTTCTTCAACCTCTTTCGCCGAGTTCAAATGAAGCAATAGATTTTGTTTTTCGAGTCATCGAGCAATATCAAGGAGCCCTTCCTTTGCCTTTGGTCTTTCCCTTGAGGTAAGAAGAATCCGATACTGTGGGTCAACATAAACTCCACCAAGGAAATGAATATTGTCAAAAAGCTTCTCTTCGCGTTTCTGCATGGAGGATAGAATTCTTTCTGCAATTTATCCACCATTTTCTTGCAAGAATTTTGACAGTTTTCGCCATTCCTTCATTAAAACTCCTGGGGTTACATCGACAGCTTGAAGATTCACGGTTGTTTGGTTTGGCTTTGCCAAGAGGTCTCGCAGGTTCTTCACTTCGTCCCATTCAGCTTTTGTTAACTTGAGTTCTCTTGTTCCAGCAGCAGCCACTTGTTCACAGTAAGATTGAAAAACAAGAAGCCAATCAATCCTCGCAAATGTTGAACCCCAGCGAGTCACAGTAACCAATGATTGAGTTACCCCATGTAGATCAAGCAGAACACTTCGAATACTTGGGGTTCGACTTGTCAAATTTTTGCCAGAAATTTCTTCACGTGTTCTTTGTTCAGTCCATCCCAGATTGCCAACTGAAGAGTGTGAATATCACACCTCATCAGTTGGTCTTTTGAGTCGTCCTCATGAAGCTATGTTGGAAGTATGGGGTTAGGGTCATTGACCCATTGTGCAACAGCATCCATGTTGAGTTCAATTTCATCCATTCCTTTAGTTCCGTCATCAGGCAAAATACCTTCAGTTCTGTCCACATCCCTGTTCTCAGAGGTAGAAATGGTTTCATTGTCCTCGCTGAAATTTTTGCCGGCACACGTCATGTTTGCTGCATTGTCAACGCAGATGCTTAGCACTTGCATTTTACTGATCCCAAATTTTTCTAAAATAGCTTTTACTTGACTTTTCACGCATGAAGAATTGTGACGCCCTTCAGTGTCGATTTATGTCCAAGGTTTTTACCACAGCTTTCATCTTTTCCTTCTTCGTAGTTCTGACCATTGATTGCAAGGAAATTTCTGTTTCCACGGGTTGCCGCATCCATTTTCAGGTAGCACAATTTTTGCTCCGAAGCTTTCTTGAGCTCTTCGCGACCCGACTCAGATGTGCTAACAACTAAATGATGAACCGCATCATGCCCCATCAAAATGCCAAGCTGCCAACCCATTTCACCTGCAATTTTTTGGAATCCTTTGTTCTTTAGCCTGAAGGTAGTGAGCAGTGTTGAACTCAAGCAAACCATTTCCATCAGCCCTTCATGGAAAGTATTGGTATCCATGGTGACTCTAACCTTTGAGGATTTAAAATATGAGTCAAGGTTTTTTTTGCTCAATTTCGGGTTTCTTTTGCTCAATTTTGGGTTTCTTTTCAGATAAAGCTCCGCAAAAAATCTTTTCTCCAGGAGTTTTCAAAGAGCCAGATGAACGTCGTTTAGCCACGTCAGCTTTCTGTTTTGCCTCATCTACCTGGTCCTTTTTTGTAACCAGAGCCACATAGTTTTCAGGATGTTTATGTTTTACGTGCCGCCAAAGGTTGAAACTTTTCACGGCACTTGCTTCACTTGTCTTGAAGCTACATGGTTTGAGTTCGCCATTCACTTCCTTTTCCACCTTGCACATTGCCGATTTCTTCTTCGCTTTTCCCAAAAGCCCAAATTTAGGCTTTTCAAATTCAAAAGTAAAGACGTCATTGAGATCCTTTTCCATAAATCGGCTATCAATCATGGGGGGGCAGATTTGATTTTTTTGTTGAAGCTATGGCCAGATCTTCTTGTGCTGCTACCGCATCCAAATGTTTCTTGTTATGGTCTTCGAAAAGCATTTTTTTATAATGTATCTGCTTGTGATATCTTAACCACTTAAGGTACTTAGAATTTATTTTGGATTTTCTGGACAAAAATTATTGCATTTTCTTTTTACACAAAATTATTATTAAAGTGTATTTTAATATTTTAACATGTTTCTTGCAGTTTTAATGAAGTAAGTAGTATTTTTAATATACATCATTAATATAATTTTTATTTATAAATTGCAAGTTCGTTTTTCTTATGACATTTTGCGGTAAAAATATTTGAAATACTTTCCAAGTTTTTAATTAATATCTCAAAAACGCTTTAATATAGATATATCAATGAAATTTGGTATGTGCCATAGCGTTAGTATGTACTATCGCTGTTCTACAACATAATTTGTTGGGAAGTAACGAGGCTACACATTAAAAGGTTGAAAATAAACTTTAATGGGAAAGCGGATTCAAATTGCAAGCACGGTCCTTTTAGTAAAGAGAGCAAATTTTCAGAAATATGTTTTTGCTTCATCAGCCTGAATAGATTATACAAGATAGAGCAAATAACAAGTTCTATCTTGTATAATGTTTCCAGCCTGATGAAGGAAAAACATACTCCTCTACCCCGATATAACGTGACCCGATATAACATGAATTCGGATGTAAAGCAGTGCTCCGGGGGGGACTATCAATTGTTATACAATCTGAAACTTTTTGGCACCTTTAGGACTTTCTTACTAAATATCATTCATTTTGGATTGAAAATGGGAAAAAAAAACCTGCAGCAGTGGAGCAGTCAAGATTTTCTGTGCGCCGGCTCCGCTCCAGCTCCAGGCAAAAACCTGCAGCTCCACTGCTCAGCGCTCCAGCTCCGGGCTCCGCTCCAAAGCCCTGTGCAGTATGAACAAATCATTGTTGCTGTGTGTAAAGTATTACTACTTTACTATTACTGAATTTTGACTTTTCTGCAACTTAAAATTTAACCCATATGCATTAAGATACAGATTTTTCATTTTTAACCTGTTTTTAATCTACTATTGTGTATGTGGGCAAGGATTTATTGTTCTGATGAGCACTAAAGTGATAGCCTTACAGGTAAACTCTGTTAAAAGGGATAATGCAGAATCAGGAACGTCTCTTTTAGATAGTAATAGTTACAAAATAGGTGCAACATGCTCTCTTATGTTAGCTGACTTTCCTTATTGTCAATGTTTATACATGTTAAATTTCTGAGTGACTATTGATTTACCAATTTATGGCATTAAAACTCTTAATTCAGTGTAGTTGCCTTGTTTTAGTTGCTTCTTCATAAACAACCTCTTTCATGTTAATATAAAATGACGTGGCTTGTCTCTGATCTTGCTTCCCAAGGATTACTGTGTTCACAATTCGTGTCTTCATTTTGTGGCTGAAAGATAATATGTTTTGGTGTGAAATAGGGAAGTAACGTGGCTGAGTGTCACCTGATTTTATCACGTGGCTTAACCACACTTAGTTACAGTTTACCTCATGGGCCTCATCTGAGGTTGAATTCATGTTGATAGGTTTTAAATTACAATTAGAGATTTACTGACTCTGATAATATATTTTGAGACAGTATTATATTGAAACCTGTAGGGCAGGTATTTCTGGTTGGAAAAATTTATGACAGTACTGCTTTTCTGTTTCATGATAAGACGACAGGACAATAGGTTTTTTTGTTTGTTGGTTTATTTTGTGAGGAAGGATGTGTTTGCACTAATCACTTGAACTAGCTAAGGTCCCAATGAACAGGTATGTGTTATGGTATGCTATGGCCGGGAAGTAAGTGTGGTTAAAACATAGTGCATATGTATCTTATGTACCAGTTTTTCCAGGGTGCACGTAAATTGCTTTTAGTGAAGAGGCATGACGTAAGATAAAACAAAATTAGCAAATGTGTGGAAGAAAAAAAAACTGAAGTAAATTTGTATAATGCTTACTGTATGTTTTCTTTTAACTGTAGGTGTGGAAGAAAATGTACAAGAAGTAGTTGGGCACATCACAGAAGGTGTCTGCAGACCTCTGAAGGTGGAATATTTTGTTTGTGTGTGTTTTGTGTGTGCCTGCCGCTCATTAAAGCTGTGTTGTGTTTTTATTGCAAAATGCATTTTGTCATATATCTCAGCTGAAGACAATAACAGTGTATTACCAAGAGTGGTACATACATAACTTGAATATTGAGGGATTTTATTAGGGCCTTACCAAATTCACGGCCATGAAGAACGTGTCATGGACCATGAAATCTGTTTTCCCCCCGCATGAAATCTGGCCTTTTGTGTGCTTTTACCCTATACTATACAAATTTCACAGGGGAGACCAGCGTTTCTTATATTGGGGATCCTGACCTAAAAGGGAGTTATGGGCAGGGTCGCAAGGTTACTTTAGGTGAGGCGTGGTATTGCCACGCTCACTTCTGCAAGGCTTTCAGAGCTGGACGGCCAGAGCACAGTGGCTGCTGGCTGGGTGCCCAGTTCTGAAGGCAGTGCCCCACCAGCAGCAGTGCAAAAGTAAGGATGGCAATACCATACCATGCCACCCTTACTTCTGCACTGCTGCCTTCAGAGCTGGACGGCCAGAGAGTGGTGGCTGCTGACCGAGGACCCAGCTCTGAAGGCAGCAGCGCAGAAGTAAGGGTGGCAATATTATACCATGCCATCCTTCTTCGCTGTTGCTGGTGGTGGCTCTGCCTTCAGAACTGGGCAGAACTGCTGCCGCTCTCAGACCACCCAACTCTGACAGCAGCACCACCGCCAGCAGCAGCACAGAAGTAAGGGTAGCAGTACTGCAACACCCACTACAATAACCTTGTCAGCCCCCCACAACTCCTTTTTGGGTCAGGACCCTTACAATTACAACACCGTGAAATTTCAGATGGTAATATCTGAAATCATGAAATTGATGATTTTTTAAATCTTATGACTGTGAAATTGACCAAAATGGACCATGAATTTGGTAGGGCCCTAGATTTTATTAAATTTAAGTTTTTATAGCACATCCGTATTAAAAAAAAGTCTTCCCATTTTATGTATGGTTCTAAGGCATTCTGATCCATATCAGATGTCTTCCAAAGTTCAAGGGTGCTCAGATCCAGTGTTCAGATTTGGGACTAGTCATAAAAGCCTCCTTTTTCTTTCTAGAAGGCAAAGAAAGGAAACTTCTGAACTTGGAGTTAAATTGATTTACAATACTGCGTCTTTAGCTTTGAGTGCAAAATACTTTTGGGTGAAACACTGGATTAAGAACACATTTAATTGAGATTCCTAATAAACATGTAATTGTGCAACAAATGAGAGATTAGAGGACTCCGTCATTTTTCAAATCATCATTCTACCTCATTGCATATAATAGAAAAGAACTCTGTTCATTAAGTGTAATGAAAAACCTACAAATCATATACATGACATTGCCATACTTATTATAATTTAGACTCAGCACAAATAAAAAATAAATGCAGGATAATTAATTTAAAATTAGTAATCTACTAGTAAGGCATACTTCCATGTAATTCATAAATCAGTTGTTTTTAAAGTAGAAAAATTAGAATAAAATTCCTTAAAATATCTTGTCTGACTAATTGACTAATACTGTAAAATGTCTGGTAATCTACATATTAAAAAGCAGGTTGTGGCTGAAATATCCCCATGTCCTTGACTAGAGAGGTGAAAAATTGAAAGAAGGATCAGAAAGTGAGTGTGTGTAAGAAAAGACAAAGGAGAAAGCACCATTAATCATGTAACCACCATAACATTTCACAACTTCAAAACTTGCTTCTCACGATATACCGCAGCCCCCTCCTTTCCCTAAGCATTTGAAAGTTAGGTGTTAATGTAATACTTTATTTTAAGATAGACTTACTTTTCTTCTCTGATTACATCTGAATATATATACAGGATTGTATGACTTTTTTGATGGTTTAGACTTACTTATAAAGATGTCTCTTTCCTTGTAATTTCCTAACATTTGAAGAAATAGTTTGGTTATATGGAATAGAATTTGTTCCCATTTCTTAATGATATTTTACTTGTGCTTATAGATCTTAAAGGTCACAATTTTCAAGCTTGGGTGCCTAAAATAAGTGAGTTAAAATAAAAAGTAGGGCTATTAATCGCAGTTAATTCAAGCAATTAACGCAAAACAAATTAACTAGATTTTTTTTAAAATTGCAATTAATCACAGATTTAATTGCACTGTTAAACAATAATAGAATATCAATTTAAATGTATTACAAATATTTTGCATGTTTTCTACATTTTTAAATATATTGATTTGTTACAACACACAAAGTGTAAAGTGTTCACTTTATATTATATTTTATTACAAATATTTCACTGTAAAAAAAAGATAAACAAAAGATAGTATTTTTCAATTCACCTCATACAAGTACTGTAGTGCAATCCCTTTAGCAATTTCTTGTGCAATCGCTTAGCAATTGGCTGAACAAGAAGTAGGACTGAATGGACGTGTAGGTTCTAAAGTTTGTGAGGGCAGGTTTTTGTTTTTAATTCTACATTTATAAGTTGCGATTTCACGATAAAGAGATTGCACTACAGTACTTGTATGAGGTTAATTGAAAAATACTATTTTGTTTATCTTTACGGTGCAAATATTTGTAATAAAAATAAATATAAAGTGAGCACTGTACACTTTGTATACTGTGTTGCAATTGAAATCAATATGTTTGAAAATGTAGAAAAACAAAAAATTTGATAAATTTAAATTCCATTATTTAACAGTACAATTAAAACAGTGATTAATCGTGATTATTTTGTTTAATCTCACAATTAATTCTGATTATTTTTTTTAATTGTTAAACTAATTTTCAGAGTGGCTGAAAATCTGCAACTCTCTTTTGCTTTAGTGGGACTGGAAAAATAAGGCCACTTTTATTTAGGCACCTGGATATGAATTAAGGTTGAAAAATTTGATCTGAGTTAGTGATTAACTCTCCCATTTCATCGTAGAGGAGACTGTGGTTAAAAATCACAAAATATTATTTTCCTTCTGATTTTAAAAGGTTTTGATATTCTACTAAAGACAATTAAATATAGAATTCCTAGCATCCTATCTGTCCTCCCAAAACACACAACCAAAAAAAAAAAAATCAGAAAGTGTGATGGTGATAGATGTCAGCCTGGAAAACTTGCCTATATGGGGAGGAGGAGCTCCCTTATAACTTTTAGCCCAGTAG